ACCTTCCACTTCCCCTCCTGCCTTGATGGTTACTAACTCTCGTCTTTCTAGGTCTGTCTTCTTCAAGACACTACTTCACCTGAACAAGCATTCGACTCCTCTCGAATATCCATGACTTTGCTTCACCATCCACTTCCCTTCCTCTTTTGACGGTCACTAACTTGTTTTCTTTCTAGGCCTTTCTTCGTCTTCAATCAAACATAATGGCTTTGCATACCGTTCACTCCCTCTCTCCTGACATTCACTAACATTTGTCTTCGCAGGACCTTTACTCGTCTTCTGTCAAACATCAATGGCTTTTCTACACCCTCTATCCCCTTCTTCTTTTGATTGTCACTAACTCTTGTCTTTGCAGGTCTTTCTTCGGCTTCTTTCAAACATCAATGGCTTTGATATACCTCTCACTCCCCTCTTCTCTTGATCATCACTAACACTTGTCTTCCCAGGTCTTGCTCCGACTCTTTTCAAATATCAATGGCTTTGATACACTCTCCACTCCCCTTCTTTCTCTTCGTTATCACTAACTCTTGTCTTTCCAGGTCTTCCTTCGTCTTCTATCAAATACCAATGGATTTGAATTCCACTCACTCCCCTTCTCTTCTGGCATTCACTAACACTTTCTTTCTTTCCAGGTCTTTTTTCTTCAAGAGAGAGTATTCTACTCTCTCACTCGGGGACCTTTCGGGCCTCCCCCCTCTTTTTTTGTGAGTTCACTATTTCTGCTCTCTTCCCTTTCACTTTCCCCCTTCGCATGATTAGAAATCCTTTTGGCAAGCCCATTGGCTGCTTGTAACACACCATTGTCGTGGAGTTTAAAGTTCTTGCCAACATGTACTACACTCTGACCATTCGCTATCTTTTCACTTTTCTCTGAGATCGTTTTCTTCAGGACATATGCTAACCCATCTGGTGTAACACGCTACCACGACCAGGACCGTCGCCTCCGCGCGAGACAAATCACCCGCCGCTCCAAGAAAGAAACATTCCTCGAAAGAAATCGCTGTGGGTTTTTGTTCACTTCTTGTTTTCCCGCTCAAAAAAAAAAACCAAGAAGTGAGAAGTATCCCCCTCCTTTCCTGTCATGCTAACATTTGTGTAGGTAGCTTGGCCAAGGTCTCCTTGGTTCCACGTGTAAGTGCCCTCCTCTACCATCTCATGCTGACATTGCATACGTAGTCACGAACACAGACCAACACTTTCAGGTAGATCACCACCCTCCACGTCTTATGCTAACATTGTGTACGTAGGGGCTTGGACAATCCCTCCACAGGTCGCCAGGTTAGTGCACTCCTTCTCTTCATCTTCTTTCACATACTGACACATCACCTGCGGGTTTTTGTTCGCCTCTTGTTTTCCCCCCAAAAAAATCAAGAGGCCCAGCCAGGTAAGTATGACCTCTCCCCTTGCTAACTTCGAACAGATCGGTAAGCGCGTTTTTGTTCAGCTCTTGTCTTTCCTTCCAAAAAGATCAAGGGTAACACGGGTAAGACCATCCCCTCTTTGATGCTAACATCCTATGTAGACATAATCTCCAACCCTCGACGGGTCTTCAACCAGGTACGTAACGTCCTTTCAAGATGACTTGTGCTAACATCAATGCAGCGGGTTTTTGTTTGCCTCTTGTTTTCCCTTCCAAAAAAACCAAGAGGCCCATCCAAGTAAGTATGGCCCCGCCCCCTTCACTAACGTCGAACAGATCGGTAAGGGGGTTTTTGTTCATCTCTTGTTGTTTCCCCTCCAAAAAAATCAATCAAGAGACATGTCAGGTACGTTTCACTCCTCCCCTGCCCTGTGCTGACATCGAATAGAGTAGCAATGGGTTTTTGTTCACCTCTTGTTGTTTTCCCTCCAAAAAAAACCAAGCAAGAGGAATTCAGGTCAGTTGAGCTCCTCTCCCATTTTATGCTGACATCGAACAGGCCGGTAAGAGGTTTCTGTTCAGCTCTTGTCTTCCCTTCCAAAAAGATCAAGAGCACCACAGGTAAGTATCATCTCTCCCCGGTCTTAAGCTAACTTCGACCAGAGTCAATTGGGGTTTTTGTTCACCTCTTGTTTTCCCTTTCAAAAAGAAATGCCAAGAGGTAGCCTGTAAGTACAAGACCTCCCCCCGTATTGTGCTGACATCGAACAGGGCGAGACGGGGTTTTTGTTTGTCCCTTGTTTTCCCCGTCAAGATAAATCAAGAGGAACAGGTGAGCGCCTCCCCCCATCTTATGCTAAGTTCGAACAGGGCGGCAGCGGGTTTTTGTTTCGCCTCTTGTCTTCCCCTCCAAAAAGATCAAGGGGAATGGGTGAGTACCACGCCTCCCTCCCTTTTGCTAACTTCGAACAGGTCCGAAGGGGGGTTTTGTTGATCCCTTGTTTTCCCCGTCAAAAAAATTCAAGAGGAATATGTGAGTGCGATGCCTCTCCCGTTTTCTGCTAACGTCGAACAGGTCGGAAGAGGGGTTTTTGTTTCGCCTCTTGTCTTCCCCTCCAAAAAGATCAAGAGGAACGTGTAAGTATCTGCCCTGCCCATCTTATACTAACATTCTCTCTAGAGCGGTAATGAGTTTTTGTTCACCACGTTCCCTCCACAACAAGCTAAGACGAACAGGAAGTACGATCACTCCCCCATCTCATGCTAACATTATGTGTAGGCGTAATGGCCAACCGCAATAGGTTCCTAGATAGGCAAGCATCCTCTCACTCTCTCTAGCTGTCCACTGCTAACATTCCTGCCAGAAATATTCCAATGACTTTTCTCGGGGTGTGAGAGTTCGAGTAGTTTGACTCGCATAGTCAAAAGCAGCATTGGAAGACGGCAGACCCGACATCTCAACACAATGAATACATACCAATTACTTTCCTCTTTGTGTCACTGCTCTTCCTGTCGGTCGCAATCATGGCCCTTTTTGACGTGAGTTGCCTCCTTCTGATGTCTTGTTCGGTCCTCATTCTCACTGATCCAGCAACTCCCGGCGGGTTTTTTTCTGCCTTTCTTTTTTCCCACCAAAAATACAAGAATGGCGCAGGGTGAGTATTCCTTCCCCCAATCCCCTCTGATATTCGTCTGCTCGGGGTTTCCCCTCTCTGTTCTGCTAATCTGTAGGAGCGATTTTGCGCATTCATTTCATTTGGGGGGGCTGATGATACAATCATATCTGTTCGGAGTGGCGATGCATTCACATCTGTTGGGAGTGATGAAATGTACGGGCAATCTGACATTTGACCGTCTCATTTTATCGAGATGAGTCTCCGTCACATCATCATCGATGAAATGATTGACCCTGAACTATTCTGACCCAACCTTTTCTCTTTCAAAGATTTTGAAGAATTTTTTGTCTCTGGCATTTCGATGTCTTCGTTTTATTTGCGGGCTTGTTATCAAATGGAGGAGGCATGGCGGTCTGTGAGAATCTTTCGTGATGGATACAGGGGCATTGGGGGGAAAGGGGGGCGACCGAGGAGGAGAATGATGAGGAGTTCGCTTTGGGAAAAGCACAAATTGACACATTTTTCACACTTAAATTATTCGTGGAAAGTGAAACCTGCAGCACAAACGTAACTGTAATTCGACCCTGAAATCTCCGATACTTGTGTGCGCATTGCGGCAGTTCTCTCCCATCAACTCTAAGCCAGTCCACCACAATTGTTCTCAAACGTCAAAGACTGCTCCTGTATTCAACTACCTGTGTCTAATTGGCTTATATTTCTTTCTGGTGGACTTAGAGAAGGGCATTGCCTTTGCAGGGCCAATGTTCATCTGCTGCTCCAGAGCTGGGCTTGTTCGCCTGCTGCATCCCGCCGACGTGTGTCCATGAAGTAGTTAGGTAGCTTAACTACGACCATATCCTCTAAATTATCACCACGTACAAAGTATTTGGGATTCATCAGAAGGAGAGTGATTCGATGCTCGTCCAAGCTCCTGCTTTACAAATCGTCGCCCCGTGCCAAGGAGCCCTTGAATCCAGGCCCACGTTTCCCATAGCTGACTCCTAGGATCCCCGATTCATGGATCTCAGGAAATTATTTGTTGCAACCTGTCACACTTTCTAGTATCCAGTCACTGTCAGAGAGTGCGTAGTTGGAAGGTCTCTCAAGTATGCACTTGTCAATGTGCCACCTCATGTAGCTCTGGAGCTCGCCATCTGATCTAGGCTTGACATGCAGATACCTGGAATACTTTTCGACGTGTGTACCAGTTCTTGATTCACTAAATACCCCCTCACATCGCAAGGGCACGGTTAATCACGATTGTTTCGGACACCACGTGTCTGGCTCCGATACAACGAGTCAAACTCCTCAATTACCTATTTAAACCTTATCTATCCCTCCTCTTCTTCTCCTGTGTTGTAGTCTAAGCTTCACATCCATCAGTTCCGTCCATTACTTCCAGAAATCTGCTTCAGATAGGCCCCAACTTCTTCAAGATCATCTTTCATCATCCTTGACAGCTATTTTATCGCCATACGAAGAACAGATGGACAGTGCACCAGTTCATGGGAATATCGTTTCCCTTCTCCAGACATATCTGGACACTTTTTTCCGCTTGGAGGTAAGAAATTTTCAATCCTATTCCTCTTGAAATTCTACTTTTTCTCTAAAAGATAATGCTGACCAACACTCTTCTTCTTTCATGGTAGATCCAAGAAACTCGCCTCTCTTCTCGTATCAGCTATGGTGCTGCAGGTACGACCGAGTTCACGTACGAGATTCGCCTTGCCCGACCAACCCCTGATCGGCAATGGTGTGAGGGGGGTCTCCAAGCCGGTTGCAAATCCATACCAAGTAATATGACAAAGCTGATAGCTTTGGTTACTTGGTGGGAGGGAGCAGAGCCGCAAAGAAATGGCACCGCCGTATCCCAGGCTGCTTCGATGAATTTAGTGTCCCATGCTTTGGGTAATGGCTGGGGTCCTCACGTTCCGGACTGCTACGGGTACGCGCAGATGGGAAGGTATGGCATTGTGTTGCAGCAAGCCATGCCTGGTCGCCGGGTCTCATCTGTATTCCACCGGATGGGCAATCGCCAAGTTGATGCCCTGTTTCATGATATTGCCGGAGTCCTCCAAAGACTCCAGTCATGGCGTCTCCCGCGCTCCGTTACGGGGTGGGGCTCCGTGACATTTACAGACACGGCAGAGATCCGCAGCTCGGCCGCTCCCATCGGACCTCAACAGCCGTGTGCCTCCCTCGGAGATTGGTTGACCTGCTCGGCTCTCCATAGGCTCCAACTTGCCGATGAGAGTCGAATCATTGAAGGCTGGGAGCTTCATGGTTTGAGGGACCGTATCCTCAACTATGTGCGCTATGGCATTCCTCGTCTCGTGCAGGCGCTTGAGAACCCTGATCATAGGGTTTTAACCCACGGCAGTCTTTGTAAGTCATAGAACTTGGTCCCGCCTTGTCTATCATCTTGTTAACGTTTCACAGCTTGCGACAATCTTCTTTGTGACGAGAGAACAGGGCAACTGACTGGGGTTCTCGGCACCAATCGAGCCATTGTAACGCATCCCTTCCAAGAATTCCTGTCCTCCTTCTTTGTCGGATCCGAGCTTACCATCTTGCCGTACGATTCAGGTCCACTAAATCTGGAGCATGAGTCCTTGCGGTTTTATGACGATCTCTTCTGCAGGGCGTTGGAATTTCACGGCGTCATGACCCCACGTGCTATTCGTGGCTTCAGGGACGCTTTTGCCCACCAAGTCCTGACGGTTTCCATCCTCCCTGGCCGCCTCACGCAAAGGTGCGAGTTTCTTGATATCGTACCCGAATACAGACGTGACGGTGAAAGGGACGAGTCCGCAGCCCTGTTGAACCAAAACTTGTCAGAATTGGGCTTCTAAAGGTGGTTGGTTGCCTGTCCCTACCGTGGGCCAGATATGAGGCCCGGCGTTAGAAAGGGGTGGCTTCATTTGTTTGGGAAGGATGTTTTCTCGAATTCGCAGTTGTGGTGGTAGTGTTCTGTTTTCCTGTATATTTAGATTTTGCAATCCAACTTGCTGTCTCGTGCTGCCAGAGTACAGGAGTGCTAGATCAGAAATCCAAAAAGTTTCTTTGGTGACTGACCTTCCCATCATGCTTTTTTTTTTCTCCCATTGTGGATTTAATAGCCCAAAACCAAGCCTTACTCAAGTATTAGCAAGATGCTTCAACAAGAAGCAGCGAACAAACCTCTTGGTAGAGTTAGGAAATCAAGCCAGACGACGAGAAATCAGAAATAGCCACGTTGAAAGCCGGTGACAACCTCAGTCGATAGTATAGATTGAGAAGAGTCTGGAAAGAATTTTTCCATCGCATTGCAGCAAAGGCAATAGTTGAAACAGCCAAGATGGGTGTCGAGAAGAGGGACAGCGGAATACTCACTTCTCACGCAATCTGTTGCGATTGGGGGCCGAAGGAGCAACCCTGAGCCTTGCGTAAAGTAAGCTTGTTTTTCAAATCTGAAGATTCCTGGAATCTAACGCATTCGAGACTCTGTGTCATATATAATTATCAATACTCTCCACACCGAAACCGGGGATTGTGGTTGACATGTCTAAACTCACCGCCACCCAACCACCCTTGAAGACATTGCCATACTCTCAATAATCTCGGTTCGAACTTTGTATTCGCTTATTGAGGGAACTAAAGTTGATTCAGGGGAACTGTCTGTTGTCGGAGATAAGGGCCCAGCACTGCTCCTCAGGGGCTTGCTCACATTATCATGGGCCCCGTTCGATGAGCTTCTCTAGTTCTTACTGAACCTCCAGCGTAGTCTCTATCTTTCCTCTTGGGCTCGGTTCGTTGTTAAAGCAACCGACGATGTTGATAACTCGTCGATCATGGTGGATTTTCCAGTGTCGAGGTAGCTTTTGTTGAGGGTTGTGGTGGTCCGCTTCGTCGACGATCCGCCTGTGAGGCTAACTCGTATTCGTCGTCGATGCAGTGATGTTCGCTATGTTTCAATGTCCGGGGTACTTTTACTGTAATAGCATGACATCTTTCAACAACAGCTCAAAGGCGACAGTTGCTGCAAGATCACCCACTCCTCTTTCCCCTTGGTTCTAACATACCTCACGGCAGATAGAATCATGCCATGCACTCTCTCGTTGTTTGTGTGCTTCGCTCAGGTCCTAGGATAAAGGGGGGGCGGGGCTCCTCTGGGCAGCTAGACGTCTCATGTGTGTGCCGTCTTCGTGAACAAGCCTATCGATCCATGTTAGAATAGCCGTCCACACATGATTGAGGAAGGCCGGAAAGCCGAGCATATTGAACTCCCGCTGCTGATGACGGGGAGGAAAGGGGGTACCTGCCGAGCGTCTCACCTCTTGTGACAAGTTTGTTCCGCCAATTTCCCTCAGTTTCAAGCCTAAAACCAGCAAACAGTCGCCTTTATCCTGTAACATGGCAGTGTTTCTGTACAGAGCTCCTTGTAAATCAAGGGCCTGTGGCCTCACTAATCAATCATCTTCCTTCATGTGCCAGTCGATCCATCGAAAAGCAATCTTCGGAGATTTGCTCGTTGGGATTATAATTTATCAAGAACGAAAGATTGTGAAATATGAAAGATTGAGCACAATGGTGGAAATCGAAGGATAAACCCGGAATGTGATCAGGATAACATTGAGATGGGATGAGAGTGAACTTTGGGTGTATCACTAGCGTTAGTTTAATGTCAAGGTCAACTCGAGGGATATCTTCTGGTAAGCAATACCGTGAGAGGCATTGCAGTGAGGGACGGATGATCGAGTCGAATGCTTCTTATCACAGTGTTGTAAATCTAGGCAGTAGGGAATTCGAGGCAACTGGGTAGATCTCCAAGTCGATCCAGGGTATGTAGGAGGCGCGATATCCGGGGGACCGGAAAATGCTCGGATCAATCTCAGATCCGGTGGGGCCTTTGACCAGCAAATTGAATCCGGGCCGACTCCGACTCCGACTCCGAATGTTTATACTAGACATTTCTTGCATTCTCCTTATTCGCACTTGAGCTTGATCCAGAACTAATGCCAGAATAAACTGTGCAAGAATCGAACCATGGACCAAAGCGGTCCGAGACATTTCCGTCGTCCGAACGGCCGACCGGCGGCTTGTGATCCGTGTCGGGCACGGAAGGTTGCGTGTGACCACACGCGCCCCATCTGCAAGAGATGCCTTCGAGGGCGACAAGGTGGTAGCAAGTGTGTCTATTCGGAGAGCGCCTTACCTTCTTCCTCGGTGTCAACATCGCCAGCTCAACAAGTCGCATCGGTTAGACCCAAGCCTGCGTCTAAGGTTGCTCCTCACGGTATCCGACGCCCTCAACGCCGCCGAGCCCCTGTCAGAAGAGGCTATCTCGGGTTTACTAGCTTCAGCAGCGTCCTGGAAGAAACAGTACAAAGTCTCTCCATGGTCAATGGTTCAACTCCGGACTATAGTCAGCATACAGCTGGACTCAGGGTCGTAGAGGGAGAAGTGAGGTTTAAGGACTTGCCGCTGCCTCTTCAGGAAATGGCGATGTATGTGTTGAGCTGTCTCCCTGGACAGTCCAATACCCACATGGCTTTTAACAAGACACCTCACAAAATTCAAGATCATTTCTATCTGGGTGTTGACCGTGTCAGCGAGTCTGTCACGGAGATCTTTGCAACTCTGGTGAAGCACGACGAAAGGGCGACTCTCGAAGCTGTTGCTGAGTTTTTGTGTGCTAACACTGCGCTTCCTCTACCAGACGTACACACTAGTGCCATAGATCATATCGAGCAGTTCACGGGTCAAAATTTGAGATGGGAATCGCTTGGACTGCTGTGGGCTCATCTTGAGCGTGTTGGAGACCTCATCAACGCCATGCGTACACGCCGTGTTGTCTGGCTTGATGATCGACCTGATCATGAAGCATCCCAGACTTGCTTAACTTACTGTGTTGAGCTGTCGAAGTATTTCTCCGCTGGCAATGATCTTTTACTGGATATAAGTCGTCGGCAGGGAACCCTTCTTTCGATTTTCGATGGCGACGCAAGTAGGTTACAAATCCAAAACAATCTTCTAGGTAAAGGACTGATATTTGCTACGAATAGATCTATCTTGCGCCTACGTGACCGGCGCGACGGCATCAATGCTGAGTTACCTCGGTCTCCACGTCTTGAAGAACCCAGATGGGTACCAACCATCCTCCTGCTCAGAAAATAAGCGACGGCTTTTCGCCCAAGTGTTCTCAGGGGACAAACTTTCCGTCGCCTTCACTGGCCGCCCGCCCCTGATCAGTCGCCGGTATTGCTCGACGTCCCTCCTGCTCGACTTGCCGGATGAGGTCTTATCACTGGACCAAGAAACGATTACCCGTGCGGCGGCATCGTTGGATAGCAAGGGCTGGAACACAGACGGCGCGGTGTACTCGGCCACTGTTATCCGAGCTCGCTATATCTGTGCTGTTGTTCGCGACGAGCTTCTCGAGATGGCACTTGTTCCTGATCAAGACATCCCAAGAGAGCAGATACTGTTCGTAGACCCCCTTAACAAGCAAAGCATGATGTGTCCTGGCTAATCAATGCGAAAACACAGCGCCGTCAGAGAAAAACAGATCGCGGTCTTCGCCGACTTCCCGCCTGCCCTCCATTTCTACCCGAGCAACCTTGCCGACGCATCGGTCGCTACCCCGGTTCTGCATTCGCAACTTATGATCAAGCTCGAGCATCTTCAGAATCTGTTCTTCGCAGATCGTCTGCTCCGCTTGTCACCTGGTAGTCATGACATGGGAGATATCGTACTTACAAGCTTTGATCTCCTCTCCGTCGCGCTCCTGTTCTGGACACACAAGGATCGCTTCGCCGCGACCAGTCAACACTTTGAGTGGCTCGTGAGTTGTTTCTGTACCTTGGGACTAAGGTCGATCTATCCGGGACTGACATCCATATTTTCTAGGTTATTGCGTACGCTGTGCCCGCCGGAGGGATCCTCTGCCAGGAGCTCCTCCAGCCATCCTTCAATGGCACCCACCCCAACGACCCGCGTGTCTCCCGCTCTAGCATTGTGCAAAAGCTCAGCCTTCTCGTCGGGTTCCTCGACTGGGTCTATCCATCGGCAGCTAACGGCGACATGTGTGTGGACTGTAAGGTCATCATCGAGCGTGTCTTGAACGAGCACCTCAATGCTGCTCAGAGGGTCGAATCCGACGGGCCTGGTTGGCTGGCGAAGGAGATGGAATGGGAGGGGTTTCAGACCCAGCTGGACTTCAATCTCGAGCTTTTGGATACGTTCGATTGGCTTCGCACGGACGGCAGTTGAACCAGTCCGGGCCGGCAGGTCCATGCTCGAGGGCCGCGATTGTTCTCCAAGGCCATTCGGCGACGCAAAGGCGACGCAGTTACTCGCATAAACACAGTCTACAATGCTTGGTGCAGGCACAGTTTTCTTGCGCCCATTCACAGCCTCGAATGAATTCGGCTACTGATCTGCCTTTGGAGTGGCGACTGGCCGGACGGGAACGCTGTCGCCCCGTCCTTGCTAGTGACTTGGGGGCGATCGAGTATTACATGGGACGACGGCATCAGCATCAGGGACTTTAATAGGTGGCCCCAGGCGTCATTCGATGATCTTACTTTGGAAATGGTTTATAATCTTTTGGATACTTTGCAGAGATTTGAGGGACTTGCAGGTGGCAGCTTGCGGGACTCAATCACGACGAGATACTACTATTTCCAGTTGAACCCAGGATTGACAGTTGTTCGCTTCGTGTTCTCGTTCGTATCTGCCGGGCCGTCGTGTCGACTCTGATATTCAGGGGTTATCGACAGCATGTCTGGTTGCGGGCCACATTCCCAAAGAGGCAGAATCTGTTCGCACACGCGTGGAGAGTCTGCTGCGGTCTTTATTACCAGGATCGCAGCTTCAGGACACTTGGCTCGCTTTTGCTGACAGCGCCCCCTGTACTTTATTGCTAAGCCAGCCGACCGGCTTCGATTATCAGCGGGAGGCTACGGCTAGATGGCTGCGGCTAGGGGATTTTTATGTTACATATGTAGCGACTTTTAAAATAAGAATCAGAAGAAACGTAGCATTGGAGCGATCGATGGATTCGGCAACTCGGAAATGCATGCATTCATTCATCGGTAATAGTGAAGGTCAGCCCTCTGTTGGTCCTTGTGGGAGTCGACTTGTTGGGCCACGTCAACAATCACCACGGTCGCGCAAAAAGACCATAAAACCTCACGTACGCACGCTGGCAAATACGAAGATGTCTAATTTGACTTTGGGATCCAAGTAAGCGGCTTTGCTGAGGCACAGCATAGATCGGCGACGAACGCCTGCGAACGGAAGATGGTTGGAGAGCCAAGGAGCGCAAATGTCGTATAACATGGGTGATGACTGTCCTAAACCGCCGGACCGGACGCTACCCAATGGCGAGACATGTCAGCTTCGTGATCGCCATTCGCAGTTGGTCTGTCTGTCTGCTAGGGCTATGGCGGTGCCGGGAAATATGACAGGAGGGCTGGGAAGAGAGGGCCTGATCACTCTCCGCTCCTTGGGCAGAAATATGAGCAAGCTACCTACCAGCAATAAAGCGGTAATAGAAGCGTTGAGTAGCTGTGTTCAGCTGATTTGAGGCGTCCAATGGTGAGTGTGGCTGTCAGACAAGATTGCAGCCACCACCCATAATTAGCACAACTAGGGCTCAGCAGCGCCTCAAACAAGCGACTAGCGGTGCTGCCGAGAGGCTACGTGCTGTAGCGTCGGCGAGGGTCTTGTCCTGTCTTGCTTGTGGGGATGATGGATAAGTGTCCTCGTCGACGGGTGACGAATGGGTGGATGCCGCAGCAGGTTGATGGGGAAAGTCGGTCAATAGCCCTGACGCAGGCCTCCAATAATCAGACGGTTGTCAATGCACGTCAGCCCCTACAGCCGGCTCAACAGTGAGCTTACAGGGAGTGGTGAGTGTCTCTGTGGCTCTCGCGGCTGGGATTGGCCACACTCCTGCTGACTGCGGACGCTCAGTGTGGCTTGGGTCGACGCTTATGCCCAAGCAACGGCTCTCTCTCCTGGCTTGAGTTCAGAACCCGAGCCAGCGGATCCACGGCATCCATGGATGCCGTGTGTGTGTTGGTGGTGTGGTTTCCACGCCCCATGCCGCTATTCGGATCGAAATGTTTAAACATGCCCATCGCCGCCCGTTTGATCGACCCCTCGCTATCGTCATTGTACTCCCAACTTGCCACTTTTCGTCGTAATCTGCATCATCACCCCTTTGTCCTCGCACATCATGGATTCTCAGCCAACAGCCACACTTGCATCGCGACCAGCGCCTCCGGAGGCGCCTCAGGGCTGGTCGGTCGGTTGGAGCGAGACGCATCAGCGATGGTATGCTTCCCTGGCCTGTCCCCTACAGTTCTCTCGATGCTAACGTGGGCTCTTGCAGGTATTTCGTGAATATCGAGACCAACCTCACGCAGTGGAAGAGACCCGAACAACCCTCCCAGCAACAGCCTGTGCCTACTCCCGGCCACGATGTCAATGCTCCAACAGAAAGCCCGCTTCCCGCTGGATGGACCTCTCACTGGAGCGAAGAGCACCACCACTTGTATGCCATTTCACTCCTTCGACGCCAATTGGAGTCCTGGGTTACTGACCATTTGATCCTAGCTATTACCTCAATACAGCCACCGGAAAGTCCCAGTGGGAGCCTCCACTGCCAGAAAAGATCAGAGACACAGCCGAACTCCCATCTCAATTGAGACCGCCTACGCAAGCTAAGCACGCCCGATCGTCTTCGCAGCCACCTATGCGCTCAGGCAGTAAATCGGAGCACAAGCAAGCAGACTCCACCCCTGGGGACCTCTTTTCCAACCCACAGAGCAGAGGAAGGCAGCCAGCTAGGTATGATTAGGATCTCTGCCCAAAGAATTGGGGATATTGGCTGACCAGTGGTGTTACATGATAGCGAGGACGAGTTCCATGTCGACAAGCCCGAGCGACCCAAATCGCACGTCTTCGCCCCCTTCGATGCACCTCGGCCACTCAACACCAACACAGGGGTGTACACTCCCCCAATGTGGTCATACGGCGTCCCTGACTCGACAACGAGCTCTCCTGGTGGCCGGGGTCGTCAAACGTCATCGCCAGGCCAGATCCCCGCCGAGCTCGACGGCCCCGCGGTTATCTATGCTGCCCCTTTTGCAGGTGCACCCCAGACACTTACACCGAGCCCACCTCGTCTGAGCCCGAGCCTTACTCCCCAGCACCCTCCGACGGTCCCATCTGCTCTGAATCCTTTCTCTCAAGGGCCCACGGGCGCTTTCCTTAACCCTGGGGATAATTCTCGCCCATCTTCCAGGAACTCGGAGACGGAGATCCTCCCGGCGTATAGCTACTCGCCTGGATTTTCCTCCAGGTACAGCTCTTACCAACCTGTCCCTGACGACTCGAGAGCTAGCAAACGATTTTCGGCTTGGAACCCAGACATGGCGGCGATCACAAAGGAGCCAGCAGTGGGAATTGTTCACCACCCCGAGAACTACGACTTTCTCCCTTAAAAGCAAGAATACTAGGAGCTATTTGATTGAAACCCAAAAAGGTTTGCCTCTTTAGAGAAGAGGCTTAGCATGTATGTTCTGTGCGGGAAACAGGACATGGTAGCGATTGGTTGTTGTTTTTTAAATGTCTCTGTGAGACACAAACAATGGGTATAAAGGATAAAACGCAATGGTGGCAAGGTGTTATGGACTGGAGTTTAGGGATCAGATATTTTCACGAGATGATGAAAAGCATCTTTTTGCTATCTAATAGCTAATACATTTGGAGCTTATTCCGCCCTTGGTGCTGCCAGACTTTTCTATCCTCCAGATGAACTCAACACTTCAGATGTCCTTAGAAGTGGATGAAATGCCACCCAGAGCTTGTGAATGCTGAAACAGGTAACTGAAAATCTCAAGACGAGCGTGGTCTTCCCATATCAGACCATGTACATCTTTCTTGTCTTGAAGCAACATATCCGCCCAAGTCTTTCGTCAACAGGTTGGACTACTCAAAGAGGAGACAGATTTTGAAATGAAAGCAGACCTAATCTCGCCAGATTCAGCAATTGATATGTGGCCATGGCCAACCAACGCAGTATGCATCCCGAACTCCTGAAAAAACCAAACTCATTCTTCTCGCATGGAGAAAAGGTAAATTCAATCCTGATCGATATAATTCTCAACATCCACCTCTAGGAGCTCTAGTTCCTCCAGCCGGAAGGGCAAGTCGCGAGTCAGGGTCCGCCGCATCTCGTCTCTCGGCACAAAGGGGTCGTAGTTGCGCAGGCAGTCGGTACTGATGACCAGCTTCTTGACGCAGAAGAGCCGGTTCAGATACATGAGCCAGAAGACGGAGGGCTCCCTTCGGAACGCTCTCGTGTCGAGGTGGAGCACATACAGGTGCCTGCCTACGCTCGTCAACACGTCGCCGAGGTCGCGGAAGTTGACGGGGTGCCGGGCCACGGGATCGGCCTTGTTGGGGCTGCCCGAGCTCAGCTCGAGGGTTCGAAGGTAAGGGAAGCGGTAGAAGATGTCCTTGACGCCCGTTCCGTTAAAATGGGCGTCTGAGAGCCTGAAGGTGTGGAGGTTGGACTGGACCGGCGTGATCATCATGGAGTCTACGTCGGCTGCTTCGTAGGAGACGCCCTGGAAGGATAGGACTTGCAAACCCCGGTGTGCCATCAGGGGAACGAGGTGGTAGGCGCTCATCTTTGGACCGTCGTTGGGGTGGATGAGGGTCAGTTCCGTCAAGAATGGCAGGCCGTAGTGCTTGTAGGCTCTGATACCGTACCGAGCCAGGTCCAGTGCCGACGGCATTGATGCCTCGGGGGGGATGAGATCGGGGAGGATGAACCGCTCTGAGAGATCCTTATCTTTCTCCAGCTTCTCTGCTTCGAAGAGGAAGCGTTGGCCTGGCTCCCAGCGCACCTCGATGTCCTCCGACCCGCTGATGAGCCACATCAAGTCTGGGCAGGGATCCTCCAGCTTCAAGGTAACACGTTCGACTTTGCGTGCTTGACTCAAGATCAGCGTCGGGATGCCATTGTATACGCCAGAGGAGAACTCGTCAACGACGCTTTGGAGACGGGCCTTGAGCTTGGGGGGAACCTGCAGGCATCGTACTGTCATGTCTGCCAGTTGATCTGCCTGGGGAATATATCCCGCCGGACGGGAGTCGGTCAACTCCACTGAACGTATAAGGTCGGTGACGAAGGGCATTTTCACCAGGCTGTTGAGAAGCTTCAGGGAGTCGGCAGGGTAGGCAATGTTCTTGTACAACATTGGCCAGGCGAGACGGTTGAGGTTCTGGGAGACGCGAGAGACAACGTATAGGTCCTTTTGGCCACCCTCGGTGTCTCTGAGGTGCTGGAGGATCCGAGCCCAGATTTCTATTGTGAGAGCCATGGTGCTTGCGAGGGGAGTAAGAAAAGATGGGAGGCTCAAGGAGGGAAGAGAGGATGAACAGGGAAGAGAGGTGGGAAGGGGGGGCAGAAAGCAAGAAGACCCTGACAACGCGTAGGGGCCCTGCAACGCGTATAGAAAACAAAGTCGACAAGGTGAGAATGGGGTGAGAAGTACCTGTGTGAGTACTTAGATACACGAAGGGGACTGGCCGTGTGATGGGTCTAGGCATCACGTACAGTTCTCCAAGAAGTCCATGGCATTTAGATCAGCCGGCCTCGTATCAGAGCCCTTATGGAAATCCCTTTTCCTCATTGGCTCAGCTAGAAATTTCATTCTTTATATCATACAAATCACTTAGTCGTTTGTTCTGTCACTTGGAAGCAATAAGTACACCAGCTTACTTTGATGGGTAGAGACCATGGATATCAATTCGGAGCACAGATGCTCATTGAGTTTAAAAGTGGTGCAGTGATGGCTATTCCCAGCGTGAAAATAACGAGGCATTAAGCGAGTAGAGCTTATGAACGTTTTAGGTAGAATAGATATCTGGTAAGGGGCAGATGCTGTAAAGCTACGAGCAAGTATATGGCCATTTCATCACCATCCATGCACTCAGTAAGGTTGTTGAATAGATATGGACAAGTTTTGGGTGTATTAAAAATTGTAGGCAATCTATGTTTCAAAGAAGTATTCAAAATTCATGGCCCTTCCTACAGATGCAGCCATTTCCAACCGTTCATTGAGGTGACAGATTAGTCCTAGGGCGATGCAACTTGCCAGAGACGCACTCAGATCCGCCCATTTAATTTTTCACATCAGGTATCTACATGATAAAATGCAATGTATTATGATCTAGTAAGGGACGGCTAGTTCAGATTTCCACAATCTCGGGCCTGACTGAACTCCCAGCCACGTGCAATGATGTCTTGAATGGTCACTAGTAGATACCATTTACGAGTATTCTTGGCCAAGGTCTTGGAATCAATAAAATGGATCATCTTCAGTGCACCTATGTGTGGTCAATCCGTATCAAAACAGAGGAATGCGAATGCCATATTGTCTCAGGTACCACCTTCATCTGCCCACACCCCCTTTACTACCCAGACCTTGACCATACATACCTGCTACCTGCTACCGAGATACTTGGCAAGTACCTACCTGCTGATTACCTAGAATCACATAGAAGCATGTGAGCCCAGGCGGCAGCTGTCGACAGACCTGGGTGGACCGCCAGCAGGCAGGTGAGAAAACAATAGTTGCCGAGGGCACAACACACAGCTCGCGTCTTCTGTAGCCTGGTCAGGTGGCCACCGCATCCGACGAGGGGCTTCTGCCCTCAAAACGTGTGACTCACCCCTCCCCCAAGCTGCCTTCCATTGCATTCTGCACCTGCAGAAGAATGTCTGAGACATAAACAACCCACTTCACAACGCTTCTGGCTCCCTTTCCCACATACTGAATTCTACATTCCTCGGGGTGTTGCAATCAGCACGCTTTCGACATTTAAGTTTAAGTTCCCACCCATCTGTCGTTGCTTGCAGAAGTGAAGCACCCAACGGTGCTGATCCCTACGAGGAAGGGACCAACGAGGTGAGCCGTTTGTGTGGTGTTCGATGTGAGACAAAAATCTCAATCTTAACACGGCGATTTAGGTCTGACGAACGCACTCCGTCATCAAGAAAAGACGTGACATTTCGTTTCGTTCCCCAATTTTGATACAACTTTTGCCATCCAGGACCACTTGGCGACTTTTGTCTCTTCACGTGTGCCTCATCCTCTTCACCACACCCAGGAGTACTTGTCTCTATCAATCAAGATGCGACCTACAATCAACACGGATCACCTCGTTGAGGGAAATCCATTCGAAAGAGTAGACCCGGATCGAGTCCAGGGCATGCTTAATGGATATGAGGTCTATCCTCTTCACTTCCTCGACAACCATCCGGGCTTCAAGGAAACGTACACATACACCTTGCAGTTCAATGACGTTCTTGACGCTCAGTTGCTCCACGTAGCGCTCCGTCGTCTTCTTGAGCACGGAGATTGGCGCAAATTCGGTGGCAGACTTCGAACCAACAAGGTTAGAGGCCGACGTACACTTGAGGTCCACGTTCCAACCACCATTACTCCTGACTACCAAACTGTCGCCTACTCGCATCAGGTGATCCGATCTAAGCTTAGAGAGCATCCCCTCGGATCTTTGCTTCCTCAGCCTACTGGCGAGCGCGGCTCCATCCAGGAAGGTGCGGACCACTTCCGGGACTTCTCAGCAGGCCCCAATGTCCCAAAGGACTTTTCCGCCTACCTCAGCGGCGATGTCCCGATCATAGCACTTCATGTTATTTGCTTCGCAGATGCCACTCTTGTGTCCCTCGCCTGGCCTCATGTCTTGATGGATGGCACTGGGCTCCAGATACTTCTCAACTGCTGGTCTCATATGCTAGCCGGCCGCGAGAACGCCGTGCCCCCCGTCCTCGGAGCTCGACACGACTTCATCTCACGAGCCAGCGAATCTGCATTGGCCCGTGATGAGATGAATGATGAGAACTGCCTACTCAGAGGATGCACTACCTTGCGTCTCGCCTTCAATGTGATCTGGGACCAATTGTCGGTTTTTTTTAGTACACAGAAACCAGTCAACCGCACAGTGTATCTTCCAAAACGTGCTGTTCAGAAGCTTCGAAACCAAGCTCTCTTTGAAATCCAACGGGCCAATCCAGGCCACCCAGATAAGCTCTGGGTCAGCGAAAGCGACGTGATCCTCGCCTTGTTCGTTCACACAACCGCTCTCTGCGAACCAACCCCTCGCCCCGTCACTGTGTTTGGCGCCTTTGATCTCCGATCCCGGCTGCCAGACTACATCGATAAGTCTGGCGTCTACATCCAGAACATGGCGTGGGTTCTCGCGACCCCCTTGGACGCCGACACTGCCCTAGGCTCAATGGGAGAGGTTGCTCTGGCGCATCGAAGATCTCTACAAGAGCAGACAACCCAGGGGAGAGTCCTGGCACTGCTTCGTAAGCTCAAGCAGCAGTCGGACTCGGGCGATGGAATGACGGTGTTTAGTGGACCACCCAATGCCATCCTCTACCCTGCCGGCAACCTAACCAAGCTCAACTTCTGCCGCGCGGCGAACTTTTTACCTGCCGTCTTCCGAACAGGAGACGACAGCCCAACACGCCGCAACCCTCCCGGAACATGTGTCTATCACCATAAGGGGTTTTGGAACGAGGATCGGGTTTCGAAGAAGGGTATGTTCATTCTTGGGCAGGATTGGAATGACAACTACTGGATTACGGGCTGGGGCATGCCTGATATCTGGCGTCGCATCCAGGAGACTCTGGATGAGTTGGGCCCTTTCCGCCGTTAAGGCCTTTTTTTTCACTTTGTCTTTCTTCAACTTCAATTTGTCGTTTTTTTAGGGGGTTCTTTGATTCTGACTGCCTGCGGATGTGTGCAGTCATGCTAGTCTGTTGTTTTGGAGTTCAGGGTCGTTTTGCTATTTGAACAAGGGGTGCCAGAAAGGGAATGGCACAGATCGACATCAGTCAGTTGCTTCTAGATGTCAGGTAAATCAATCAAATGTATGAGTTCTGTACTTTGTTGGTCTCCTTGAATGTCTTTGCCGTGAGGGCCGAGGTTGATCTTCGTTCAGGCCATAGACTTTGGCCAGCTCATCAAAGGCCATCGAAGCTTGTCATCTTGGATCTCATTTTGATTCTTGGTTGTATATCACCGCCCAGTAAACCTTGCATTCGATACATCTACTCAATTGCTGAAGCGAACTGGTATTGTTGACGATAAATATAGCACATGACTGAATCAGACTTGTCAGTGTGGGAGGGAAGAAGTACTTTATACCTCAATACTCGTAGTCCAGTAGCGGGCAACGCTCGGATGCATTACAGTATGTTCGTCCACCTCATGACAGGCAGCTCCCTTGCTCCTTCTGCTACCTCACATCCTCGATCTCTTGTCGATTTCTCATCTTCGCCCTCTATCACCTATGCCTTGGGATACTCAGGGTCAACAAAAGTTGGAATATAGTGGTCTACCTAGATCTGCCCTTTCTAACAGGATGCCAGAAAGGAACCCTCGTGGCCGGGCCACTTCGTTGGCGAAGTTAGCCCAGTCTTGCCGGTCCTTCATCGAAACAGGCTGTCAGCTCTTACATGAGCCCAAAAACTGGTAGTGGGGTTTGGTCCTGTAACAAGAAGGGTTAATGGACATCAGTGGTTGCATAAGGCATCCGTCAATACCCAACTAGGCTAAGGGTTGCCGTATTGAATTCATCTCGTTTATTCCAGAAGGGAGGCACCAGCGTTGAGGCCCAATGATATGCCTCCATCCCTATCTACGAGTCAACGTATAGGGATAAGCCCAGTGCCTGAGACGAGACAAGCTCGACTTTTAATGTGTCAGTATCATATCTAGCAAAAACCCCACCCAGTAGATCATGAATGATGGAAACTGAAGCTGATCGATTATCTATAGTTGGAAAGACATCCATCTCACAGCCCCGTTGATGCAAGCACCATTACGCAGTATTTAGGATGAATGACACCCAAAATACTGCTAATATGCGCCTTTTTTCATTAAGAATGAACTCGACCCGTTTAGCAAATGCCACACTCTCATTCAACTAATACTGGTAACTCGGAAAGTCCCGGTGGCTTACCCCTATTTGACGCATCATTCCTTACTTTGTGGAATGCGAAGCATCGAGAAACTTGGGTGCTACGGCTACCGCAGACAAACGGGAGATCGCCGTACGCAGCTGACACAGCCACTTAAATGGCACGAAGAGCTTCTAGCCAGCTTCAGCGGAGCCCAGCATGTGCCGGCGCAGCCCGCCAAGGGTCGAGATCCAACAAGAGATTGCGCTTTGCCTATCCAGGGCCGATCCCAATCCCTGGAACCTCTGCTGGAATGTGAAACGGCGGCTGGTGCACTGTTGTAGGGCGTGGCAGATCGAACCCAGCCATAAGACGTCAGACCTAGCTTGGTCAGGCCCAGGCGCCAACAGGCGCGTCTTGAACTCCCCGCTGGATATCGGCCTCCATGAGATCATGCCGTCAGTGGATGGTAAGAACGAGTGCCGGGCTGTCCATAAATCCGGTTTGACAGCATGTCAACTCACTTATTCCCGAGAGAGCGGAGAGTTTACTCCACTGATGAATTGCCAGCCGATATACCGTCAGCTGGCGTCCGCAAAGTGTGACGCCAAGCGTGGTCAAGTCCCAGAGCCGTTCAAACTCTCTTTCGATCTAGGCGCGAATCCGCTTCCCCGGATTGGCCCAACCGGCCCCATGGCTTGGTCTACTATATCATGAGCCGGTAGGCGGTCCCGACGAACCCAGAACGACTGGTATTTGATTGATCGCCTTTGTTCCTTTTCATTATTTTTTGAGGCCTGCCACCCTCCCCGCGTGCCTCCCTTGCTCGCCATGGCTTGGCTCGATGCTGGCCTTCAACTGTTCGATATCCTGCTCCTCCGCACAATCACCAAGAGCCTGCGACACGGCCTCGAGTCCACGTTTCAATCGACTGGCCTCTCCCGTAGAGGATATTATGCCACTTTCCAGCCTGGTCTCACGCGCGGTATCGGGCTTCAATGGCGGTGATCCGAGCAAATACCCTGGTGCATTCCCTCCACCAGCTGGCGTCGTCGCGAACCTCAAGAATCCGCCTGATGCCGGTCGCGTTGCGGGTGTAACGACTCTCGTTGTGTGTCTAGCCGTGTCAACTATCCTGTTTGCAGTCCGATTCTATGTCAAACTGCGCATTACGCGGCGGTTCCTGCTGGAAGATTGTACGTCCCTCTTCCTACTTCAACGCATGATTCAAGAGTACCTTTGGAGCTAACATGTAGATAAACAGTGACATGCTTGATATCATGGGTTTGTACATTCCAAACCACATGACGCGTCGAAGAGGGTAGTGCTGACGCTCGCAGTCCTTGCTGATCGTAATAAGCGCATCTTCTGCGATGAGTACGCCAACGCAACCCCGTTTCGATTGCTCCGGTCGGCTAACACAATGCAGTGATACGTTATGGCTTGGGTCACCATTCTTGGGATATATCAGTGGACCAGTATTCCTCCATGCTTGAGGTACGTGGACCTTCTACCATGAGTGTTCCCTCGTAGCTAACCAAGTAACAGTGGCTGTACATTACATCCATCATCTACGAGCCGGCCGCATTCTTCACGAAGGTTACTCTTCTCCTCCTCCTCGCACGTGTCTTCGCCGTCAACACAAAACTCGCCCGCGGGATATACTACTTCATCCTCGCACTCTTCATCGCCTATATCCCGATACTGGGCCTCAAAATCGGCCTATGTGGCCCGCCAAGCGCCTTCTGGGATCCAACCGTCCCAGGCGAATGCTTGGATCTTCGGATGATATTAGTCGTCGACGTCGCATTCGCCATCGCCACCGATTCGTTGATCTTCTTCATCCCGATTCCGAGTACATGGAAAATGCGCATCAATTGGCGGAAGAAGATCAAGATGATCCTCCTGTTGGGGGCAGGCGGCACTGCCGCCGCCGTCACGATATATCGTCTGATAAAGCTGATACAATATCTCGAATCGAGGGACGTTGCGTCGGACTTCATGCTGCTGGATATACTGACGTAAGTCCATGATGTTCAACGCAAAGACTATGGCTAGCCTAACTTATCCAAATCGTCTAGCATCCTCGAACTTACCATCGGCCTTTCGTGCTCGTGTCTTCCTGCCCTCAACATACTCATTGAGCACCACCGCCATCCTGCTCTAAGCCGGAATTCGCCCCGCACCGGCTTTCGACGACCAAGAGGCGACGAAGATAATCCGACCAAAAGACTGGCTTGGAACTGGCTGGGCACTACCTTGTCCATAGAACCGAAGTGGCCACCGGCAACCTCTTCCGTAGGCTCAAGAACCATGCCGCGGAGACTGACCAAAGCCTCACTGCATACCAACTTTGACATGGAGCTCGCCATTCTCTCCGGCCGCCATAACGGGCCAGGAGAGCCGAGGAAAGATGGCGATGAGGCAGTCGAGACCCCTCCAGACTCCTGGTTCACTGGCCGGAGAATGACGGCGTGTGACGGGCGGCGCGAAGGCTGGCTCCACTCGTGCGCCCACGTCGACCAAGAAGGCGCGGAAGTGGATCCGGCCGCGGCGGAAGACGGAGGCAGCGACGAAACGGGCGAGAGCAAACGGTCGCGGGACATTTCCGCACGGCTCGCCGAGTTCAGCGGCAACCAGCCGTGGGGGGGCATCTGGGACGGCAGGAGCAACCAGGTGGGATCGTCCAGCCACGTCAGCCCAGGGAACAGGCCACCGTTACCTCCGTCTATTACTGAGAAGTCATGATGAGTTCCATTGCTTTTGATCAACGGATTTTGCATACCTAAACTAGACATGGCAACATAGAATATATATATATACCTTAGTTTTCATATTTGCTCTTTATACATCACGAGAGAATTGACATAGGAGTCCTTTGCAGTGTCTCCCTTTGCTTAATCCTGCGCCCATCTTCCTCCCGTGCCTATGGCATCCAATCCTCTCAGATGGGTATAGTCATTGTATGTTGCCGGACCTGACAGCTCACGACATCACTGCGAAATCAAATAATCCATTGTTTATTCCTTGCACCTGCTCAGGCGTTTTGGAAAATCCTTGAGAATTCACTCAGACGTCGGTCAACGAGCTGTGATCACTGAATATCTTCCGTTTTGATAACCTGACATGGGAGGCTCAGAAGGTCTACATATTGGACGCAAAGACGGTGGCAAAATCCTGGCACTGACCTGCAAGCATGTTGTTTTTCCCTAAAATTGGTCTAAATTTTCATTGTTACACATCATGCATATCAATATAATTTCAACATCCTGCCTCGAAGGATAATCCAACCAGGATCAAATACCATAACAATGATGTTGGAAAACTAGAAGGAAATCTTCAAAGTAATTTATATACTCTAACAAGGAAGCCTCCCGGACAGAAAATGAATCACTGAAAAACTGTGTGTGTATTAAATATTTGAGGATTACCCGTCAGAATGGCCAACCGGGGAAATGAATTCTTCATTTCCAAAATGCCGCAACCCAAAGAGTGGCCTATCCTGCTCTACCCCAGGCACCATCCAGCCATTTCTACCGCGCTCTCAGTTGAGCATCACAGAATCCACATCGCCATGTCCTTGCGTCTACTCGGGGCGAACCAGGCAGCCAGCATTGATTCAGGGGCGCTCCCCAAGCACCCTTGGGAATTTGAGCCCCTGGGCCCTCGGGAGGCAGGTCCACGTCTTCTAACTCCCATTCCGGTTTCTATCAACGATATGGGAGCCATAGGTTGTGTCACCACTTGTTTCTGCACAAGCGCATCACTGTCCATGGCTTGTCTTCTTGCTTGCTCGTGAGTACGGCGCGGAGGAGGTCAATGGTGAGGTTTGGGACAGGTGCTATCGCTGCCCTGTGAGCCGCGATGATGTGATAGTTCTAGATCTTGACGTCTTTGCCCACCAGGCCGGGGCGTGAGCCAGCTATCCGCGGTGCGTCGTTGTTCGATCCAGTCTCTCTGAGCTTCAGTATCTTGGGTCGTCCCTTGATGGATGTCCAGAGTCCCCAGCAGTGACTAAGAGAAGAGAGTGGGTTGAGCGAACGCAAGGTCGTTGTCGGTCAGCGCTCGGATGATGAGTCTTCTTTGAGATCGACAATCGGGAGAAGTTCCATGACCATCCATTCAAAAATCAAGCAGTCCTGCAAAGGACTAATTTGCAAAACCAGTCATGGTTAACTGTTTCCAGCTTCCAATGTTAGATAAAAGCGAATTCTGCCATTCTTTTAGGAATACCCAACCGTAAAAAGGGGCCAGCTTTCTGGACTACCCCTGTGGCAGTGTTCCCCCAAAATCATACTGAAATTGGGCGGCTTCAATATCGACGATCATCCCGCGTTGATGCGTAGTGACTTCAAGCTCGTAGTATCAGACTGATCGACCTAAAGTTTGCATTGTATTCATCTATTAAGTGGACCCAGTTGACTCCTCTCAAAATTCCGAACCCATTATCGTTGCCTCAAGTAATTATCCCAGAGCTTGGATACCCAGTCATTGAGCTGATATCCTGCGACTCTTCTTCGCCATCCGTGGTGGTTATTCAAAAGGGGTTTGGCCCTCCCCGTATCTTCTGCGGTATGTTGCTGGTCGCCGTGGAATGCTCGCGGCTCTCCACGCCTGCTGGCCACGCCTCGCTGGCCACGCCTCGCTCATTCGGAGGTTCCGGTCGGAACAATGCCTGGTCAGCAGCCTCCACCGCGGGAGCCCTTACCGCTGGTAGCGGGAAGTTGTTGGCTTCCTGTCTTGCTCGTCCGCCGCCGTACTCGATCCCTACATCGTCGCCGTCGCCCTCTTCCAACTCCCACAGCCGCATATAGCACGAAGCGACCTTGCCGCCGGGGCACCGTGTTGTAGTGCATGTAGGGGTTGGCCTGGTCGTTAGTGACCGGCTTGGCGAGCGCGGATACCCGGCGGGAGGCGGATGCCGCCGGCGTGGATATCTACCTCCCCAAAGACCGTCATGCGCATCACATCGGAACCTGACATGAGCTCAAAAGCAGCTCCTTGTTGCTCTTGTGCCATTGCGATCATGATTGACCACAATGTCCATATTTATGTCTATTAGATGCCCCGGTCGACGCGGCGATAGCGAGACTGGTCACGGTTCGAACCTTGGTATGGTCATCATTCAGGTTTTGGCAATGTATTCAACCAGACCCTTGAGTTGTGGCGGCATACCACAGCCCATAAAGGCGAAACTCTGCTGCATGATCTTCACTTCAGTATGTCTAGCCTGACATGACTTCTTGCTTCGGTACACTGCCTTCAGGAAGGGAAGAAGTGCGGGGATGCCCAGCAAATGTGCGAGTGTAGCATCTCTGAGTTTGATTCTGCACAAGGAGTTTGCAATTTCCAAGCCATCAACGAACCAGAAGCACTGGATGTCTCTGACAGCAGAGGTAATGGGCCGGAGGAGGGAAGTAAGGCCCCAGTATTCATTGAGTTGAGTTGTCGGGCCCTGGAAGCTTTATTGCTGTTGAACTTTATTCTCTTTCTCTTCCGTAAAGCCCCAGAGGAGCGACGTAATGAGCTGTAGGAGGGTAGTGAAGGGCTTGTGAAGGGGGGGTAGGAGGAGAACACGCTGGGGAGACTGGGTAAGGTCCCAGAGGTGCGATGTTCGGGGAAGTCGCCGGGTTTGGGGGAGCTTTGCTCTCTGGATGGCAGATGGCTATGTTAGTATTGGCTGGAAATGGTGTGAGTCCTTGCGTACCTCAACGCCGGCTCAAATCGCACTCTCGGGCTCTCGAAAGACCTTCTAGGTCTATCTAGGCTGCGAAAAGGGGCGATAGCCATTAGCAATCACGTTGAGATTTCTCTTGAGGGAACATGAAGTAGTGAGGCGAAGAATGGCGATAGTGATGTTGGTGGAGAAAGGAAGCGAAGTGAAGTGAGGGACGGGGCGAGGCAATCAACTTACTCGCCGATCCGCAACCCTCGCTGTTTCAAAGCTTGCACTTTGAAAGGCAAGCTTCGACGCCCTCGTTTCCGTCGAGTGGGTTAACACCTATCAGCCTGTTAGGAGGATTGTTCACATCATAGATGGTAAATGTCTTACCCTTGAAGTCCCAACCGGAACTCTGGATTCTCAGATCAACAGTCGAAGATGGTGACCTTTCTGGTCAACAAATGCCAGAGATCAAAAGGTCTATCCCCGGTATACCGTATGGGAGTAGATTGGGGAGCAGGAAGTGCTGGGAGCGGAAGGCACTAGGCAGGAAGTCGAAGCCTCACCTTCGAGAGGGAAGGTTGTCTGTTGTGGACGGAGGTGGGGAGGAAGAGAAGCTACTAGAATGCTCCCACTGTTGGCAATTCGCAGCTTCCCGGAGTGCTGGAGCAGATTAGGCCTGAGAGGACGGCCTACTACACCTACCACCATATGGACCTTCGTTAGGCAAGTGGCCTACGCGTACTTGGCTGGCAGTAACTTGGCGGTCAGGTGGTATTCACTTTGTGCGCAGGTACGGAGGTACGTACTCACCTGCCCCCTTTCCTCGCACATTTCTGCATCGAAGCAACTAGAATCTGAACTTTCTTCCTTCTACTCTTCGTCTTCACAGTTTCTTCTTTCATCCTCTCCATCCATCCAGCTTACATCTATCTCCACCACCAGATCCACGAAACTACCACAACCCAGAGTCTCCAAGCTGAAGAATCGTGTCACCCAAACTTTCTAAAGGAACATCAAATCAAGATGTCTCAGTCCCTTGGAGTAGGAGACATCCTGGGCCTCGTGCTCATCACCGTTAGTTCTCTGCACCCTATCAACCGAAGCACCTGAGCTAACACCTTGCTAGATATTGGCCTACTACCTATCCTGTTTCGCCTACGACATATGGTACCGCCTCTACGAACCTTCCTCGACCCGCTATTGATGCGTGCAACGAAGCAAAGGAGATGTTGCCGGCGTGTAAGAAGGCAATAGAGTCTCGGAAAAGGTTGCCAGGAGCTTTCAAGAGTCAACGTGTGCAATAGCTGCCATAGCTTTCGAAATCAATCTCGCCTCAGGGCTCACATTTGATTCTCAACTTTTAATACAAGCCAAAAGTGATCTCAATTACCAAACCGCGTGAAAACTAAGGTCTGGTAGGAGCCAGTCTTGAAAACTAGAATGTGAAACGTGCCAGTATTCTTGCATAAAGAGAACTGCCCCAGTTATCCAATGAAAATTAGGTACTGTAGGATTCATCGCGTCCTCTGTGGGAATCACATCCCCAAAAGTGGCGACAGGATATCTAGGAAATTGCACAGATTCATTTTAGCAAGGACTTTAACGAACTGATTCTCCGGGCCAGCACAGCGCTGTCGTGTATGTATTTACTAACGGTGAAGGCTACCATGGAACGAAGACCAGAGCTCATGTTAGTCTTGCCTCATATCAGCGGAGTCAAAGATCAAATCAAACGATAGCCTCTTCCGGTTCGAATTTTATCAAGTAACCGCCATCCCGAACAGGATTCTTCTCAAGCAATGAACTGCTACGCTGAGCAGCAGGGGGTCGACGACAAACAAGTGTCAGCCAACGAGATTAACATCATCAAACACTTACGTCTCGCCGCCCTGCTCCAAAGCCGTATATGAAAGAGTAGAAATTGGAGAGCTGTTCTAGTCTGGGCTTGTACAAATTGGCATCCATATATATCAGGACTCTAATCACGGCCATATTCCGATCGCTCGGTGCTATCCGGAATGGCACGTAGCAAAAAGGAACAATAGAACTGACGCTTTATATCGTTACGATGATATGTATCTTACCGATCCATTTAACGCCGTTGATCTCTCTCCTTGCCTTCCTGGGAATTAAAAGAGGAAACATGAATGATGTCACTCCAGTTGTTCATGGACTAATGCACTGTTGGCTCTTGCTAGGCTTCATGGGTGTTCTATCGTTCTAAGAAGCGCAATATCGTCTCTCATTCGACAGGGATGACCCCTGCGTAGCCTATGTTATAAGGCGGTTGCAAGAGTTTATGAAGAAGTAGGAAATCTACCCCTATAAAGCGTTACGCGAACCTAATTCAGAGGTCTCCAATAGACGGTCTATCAGCAGCTTATCTTCTTGAACCTGTGATGGAGAACTAGCACGGATGCTGGAAACGCATTAGGCCTTCATAATTCAACCGTTCTTTGCCGCCATCCAAGTATTTGGCCCTTTTCTTCCCGCGTCTCGTTGGTGGCTAAGAGTGATGTGCACCAAGGTTCCCGTTATGTCTTCTTGTCCCGCATGGCCTATTCTCCACCGCCCCCAGTACTTGATATATACTGGGTAGTCTCATTTTTGATGGGATGCGATCGCTACCTTTACGAACTACCTTCACGCATCTTATGAAAAATAGGTGGCAAGACGCAGAGCATTGCCTCTTCTGCCGAGCCTAATTGACTATCAGTGAATGCTTTCATCAGCTTATCTACTAGACTTTTGGGGGGGAGCCCCCGAGGGCCTGTTTGGAGTCTAGCTCCAATGATTTTATCAAGAACGCTCGCGAGGAATGATGCGAAAACTTCGTGGGCACAAGAAGACACAAGGGTGCTACTCGTTTGGGCGGTAAACATCTTCACCGTGCCAGAATCTCTTTCTAAATTCGGAGAATTCGAGCAACCTTCAATTCTCCCGCCAAAAATCAGAAAAACAGGTTGCTGCATAAGGTCTCCTTTCAGTCTGCCCTGGAGAGGCCTGTAATTGCTGCCGACCTCCTCCCACAGGTTACCCGGCTCCGGCTGCGTATCCGACGAACCAAATGTATGCTCCTTGGAATTAAAGGAATTAAGTGGTAGCTTTTCTTTGAGAACTTCGACTATGGGCATTGGAACTATTCGCCGCACTGGAAACCTCTAGGGCTCGGGATTGTATAAGAGAGCTTAGTTCATCCTTCTTCTCCACTTCATGGTCACACATTAGTGACCAAGCCCATAAGAAGAGATTCCAGCCCCATGTTGTTGTCGAATTTCCACTGATTGTCTTCTGGATCGCAGGAAAGATCCAGGTATACGCTACAGGTCTTCGAGATTGTTTTTATTCCTAATCCATAAAGGAAAAATTTAATTCCTGATATTTGCATTGTACTCAAGATTTTCCAATAGTGAGGATGAGATAGAGCATTCAGGCTCCCACCTCAAACATTCATTGTCTTGGCTATCTGGAATTAACAGATTGAGAGCAGTTGTGATAGCAACAGCAAGCCGCTGAGCCTCTTGCCTAACCTCAACCAATTCGGTATGAAAACTAGCTGCAGAAGTGGCAATTATCGATCTTTGGCTTCGTGGCATCGTTAGATGTCCCAAGCGAGTTCGGTAGGCAAAATATTTTTGCAGCAGGATTAAGATCCGGGGGTCCAGACGGCAGCTCAGACCTTGGAAAAATTTTCATGCTCAAACTACCGAGAAACTTCCATGATTATCGAGTTTCATGATACCGTATTTGTAGAGGAGTAGCTTGGGACGGTAATAGGAACAGGGTCGTCCAAACCACATCGACAACCATCCTTTGTGAGATGGCGGAGATGACCGAGACTTTAGAGATGGTGGATTCAGGTCTTGTTCCAGGACTTGTTTCAGGTCTTGTTGAATATCTCCTTCGCCAATATGCAATGCAAGCCAGTCAAGCTCGTACCCAGTTACTTGATCCGGAAATCCAGCAAGCTTGTTATCCTCAAGCTTTAACCGTTGCGTGCGGAGTAACGATCTTAAGATACTCATGGCCAGAACTACTGCAATTTGAGCCAAGGATACTGCGGAATGTATACTTCGAAGTCCGGTAAACTGAAGAACAAAACCAAGCATAGTAACGCCGATGGCTGTTCAAACCCGGAAGGGCGACCCAACTGATGGTCTCTTCCACGACTTGAGGTACTGTTCCAATGGCTTCCATCATCACTGTAGCAAAAGGTATCAAAGGTTTGATCACCCAGAACCTGGCCTCCAGACTACACCCAAATCATGATTGCACTTCTCTTATCTTTGCTCCTGGGCGGGTCCCTTTCCATCAAGACCTGTTCGTCTGTGCTCTCGCCAATGATAAATGCACAGTAGAATGTCCCAATTCCCAAGAGAATTGTACCAGCGAACATCATAGGGCACGAATAGCTGTTCGGGGGCTTGTCATCCTTTTTCCACTTCAGGTAGTATGTCGCAATGCCAGCAAACACCATCACACCGCTCTGCATGAAAAATCCCATCCCGACGAATATCCAGGAAACGTGTGTAGGCTGTCGTTTGATTCCGATATTGAGAGAAAGGTTTGGGGCGAGCAAATCAATGTCACTGTCCACATTTGCAGACTCCTTTGGCGGATTAGTCTCCACGTCGGTGGTGGATCTGACAGAGACACCAGACTGCTCCACCCATACACTCTTTTCAGTCTTCAAGTAGTTCCTGATTGTGTAGATCCCAGCTTCCTTCTGGAAATCTGCATCTTCAGGGTCAAATACAACCTTGAGTATCTTTAGACGCCCGAAGACGCACGCAGTTCCACCATTGTTGTAGAGCTCGCAAACATCCTGACTTGTGGAGGAGCACAGTTCAGCCTCGGTGATTCCCTTCCCTTCCTGTGCTCTGCCAATGAAGGCGCGCAGCGATGGTCTACCACAAGTGCGAATAACAGAAACAACAGCCGTCAGTATTCCCATTGGAGCCATCGCGAAGATAATGTAATCCACGAAATAAATGCTTTCGCTGAGGAATCGCTTGGTGACCTGCTCGCCGAAGAGCGAGAGAAGAGGGGCAAGATTCGTCGCGAAATTATTGGAGAAGTCGTCCCACCAATCCGTCGCGGTGGCGGGGGGGAAGCTGAGGAGCAAGAGAAAGCAGGCGGTGAAGAGCATGTTAGCTATCTGAGGGACAGAATATCAAGGAGCTCAGGTCGTTCTGCTAAGGGCGCACTTTTGGGTTGGAGACGGAACATTGTTGCAGCCTCAGTCTCAACTTGCAGGCGCAGTGAACACGAAGACTTCAGCGTCAACTTAACTGCACTTCTGCCTTAGCGCCAACACAAAATGTGACGCTGACTTGAGGTGCATGAAAACAAGTGTATTGATTGATTGCTGCAACTGCCATCCTGCAAATAAGGTTGTGTCAGATGTACCAGTTTTATCAGAGCTGAGTTTTTCTGTCGAGTAGCGAGGATTGAGTGGTAACGATTTGTAACCTTTCCATGATAGCCATCTCTAGGCTATAATCTGAAGTCTTATTGGCTTTTCCTGGGGTCGAAGAGCAACTACCCCTGATTCTTGACGGGACGACCCACCCCCTGAGATTGAAGAATCCCTGCATCGTGCCCCGAAAGTGTCGCTCGGTTGCCTGGCGGCTCTAAATCTGGGTCTCGAGACCCTCGTGTCAAATCTCAACATGATGCAGGTCGAACAAGAGCAAGAAAGTACTCTTCCACATCGGCATGAAGCTGGAGCAGGCGATGGGGACAAGCAACAACACCAAAATCACAATTCGGGCGTTCTGCCGGAATAGGGGAAGTGGTGAGTTAAACGCTACGTCACGTGATTATTGTTCGTTCGATTAGAGAGAGGAGAGAAGGGGACGAGACTCAGGGGCCAGGAGTTTCTACTACCACCCTATATCATATCTTTTTCTATTGCAGCATATGGCATAAGCCTAAAAAGGTCATGAAAGGTTGGTACGGGGATTATTATAGAAGTCTTACAGACCAATGTTGTACTCAATCCACCAGCGTTTTGTTCATCAACAAAATGACCGCCGTGGAATGATTACCAGAATGACTTACGGCTTCGACGTATGTTGTTCATTTGAATGCTTGTGGAGAATACTGGACGTTAGAAACTACGTCTACTGCGATAAGACTAGAAAGTTCTCTTTTGACGAGTTGGAATGCATCATTCGAATTGTATAGGGTAGGTACACTGAGTAGAGCCAAGGCAGATTCTCAATGTTCGCTCTGGGTTAGTCTGTCGCTGCCTTCGAGGTTATGCCATATCAGGTTAGGGGAAGCCGTGGAAGATAGACTTATCCTGATCAGGACTCAGGGGGGCCGATTTATCCGATCGCCAACATCAGAGCCGAAAGAGCATTGAGCCCCGTCAGAATATTGGCTCTAGAGGACTTCATCATTTTTGACATGCTGCTGGATCATGGCATCCGACCCACCCCTTGGTCTCGACTCGGCCGCGGAGGAACCAAGAAATTGGCTCTTAGCCAACATTGTTCCTGACTAGTGTTATGCTTACTGCGCGCTATTGACCTCGGTACAAATGCATTCATTCCGCTTGGCAACAGTGCTGCCGCCTGGCCCCCAACGGCTTTGTCGATCGAGCCAAGACTCTTTGCCTGGGCATGTGTCGGTCGACGATGAGTGAGCGTGGAGTGCTGGGAGTTCTTCGGGGTGAGTATGCGGGATAGCCACGGTGCAGTGAGACACGGCAGGACATGTCGAGCGTGTTTCTGCAGCATGTCCTCCCGGGCCGCTATCGGGTGAGGGATGGGGTTGTTTGGTGGCGTTGCTGAAAATCGATAGCTTAAGCTATTGAGCCCCCATCTGCTAGCGAATGTTGACTATCAGATGCTGAGCTTGGTGGCGCAAGGCGATGGAGCGGACTGCGCACTTGATACATACCCAACATGCGCCGAGCATCTTTCTGTGTCTTCTTCTCCTTTCTCTTCCACCCGCTCTCTCTTTTTCTGGGTGTTGGCATTTGGCGTCCGCTGGTGACAGGGAAGAAGCCGTACATTCGTTACAACAGACACTCGCTCACACGCAACACACTCTTTCCAATCCTCGATTTCCTTCCTTTTGACCGCATCACTCCTTTTTGGAACCGTCTTCTAGGTTCAGCCACTCTCTTGCTCCCTCACCATGCGGTCTGCACCGCTTTTCAATGGCCTGCTGGCCGCTGCCGCTTTGGCAGTTCCCGCGGCGGCAGCCAACGACAACCCCATTGTCACCTGCACCCAGCCCAATTTGTTCTCTAACCCATCTTTCGAGAACTCTGCGATAACCCCCTGGGCCACTAACCCCTCCGGTGGTTCTCGTCTGTCATCAAGCAAGAGCACCGCCGGCTCCTATGTCCTGTGAGTGAAAAGCATAAAAATGCCTTTCTGAAGCGACAAATGTACTAACCGGCCACAGTAACCTCCCCGCCACGTCCTCGTCAACAACCTCGTATACCGTGACGCAGAGTGTTACGTTGGTCAAGGACACGGAGTATGCCATCTCCATTGACCGGTACATCGGTGTCAAGGCAGGCAACACCAAGACCTGTTCCTTCTACATGTACCAGGGCACCACATCCAACAAATTTGCCTCCATTTCCAACCAGGCTTTCACCAGCTCCGGTGCTGGCAATGCGTTCAGCACCTGGACAGGAACTTTCACCGCGACGGCCGGCGGAAGCCAAACCATTGGACTTTACCTCTCTTGCTCTGGCTCTTCGGCTTCTGACCCAACTTTTGCCTATCTCGACAACACCTCCATCTCTACCACGGCAAGCTGCTGCCAGCAGAACGCTTTCACGAACCCCTCGTTCGAGAGTGGACTGACCGGATGGTCTTTCACTGATGGTGCTAACCGTGCCTCGTCGTCCGCTGAACACACTGATGGACTCCTCTCCCTGTATGACACTGGCCATATCCCTCTCACTTTGCTATGGATAAGTAAAGACACAGCTACTGACTCATTCTATTAGAGCGGACCCTCTAACGGATTCAAAGATTACTGCTAAGCAGGCTATCACCGGACTGTCGACCTCATCCACCTACGATGTCAGGTTTGACTATCAAGTGGATATTGACTCTTCCAACAGCGGGACTGCGTACAGGTATTGTAATATTGCTTTGAACCAGGCAACTAGCTCAACTGGCACCACCTATACGCTCGCAAGTGTCTCTTCGACGATTTTCACCAAAACCTCGAATCAAGGGTGGAAGAACCTCAAGGCAACTGGCTTCACCCCCAAGGCCTCGTCTATCTACATTTCCGCCACCATCACTTGTACCTCCGGAAGCGCTACTGGCAAGATGTACATGGATGACTTCAAGCTCTTCCTGAGTGCCACCTGCCCAGCACCATCAACCACCAGCAGCCTTTCCACGGTCGCATCCACGACCAGCGTAGCATCCACGTCTTCTGCGGCTTCATCTACCGTTGCCTCTACCACCCCTGCTGATTCAAGCACTGCCGCTTCGTCTACCGCTGCCTCGTCTACTCCTGCTGACTCAAGCACTGCTGCTTCGTCTACCGCTGCCTCGTCTACTCCTGCTGCTTCAAGCACCGCCGCTTCAAGCACAGATGTGTCGTCCACCGCCGCCTCCAGCACTCCTGCCGCCTCTAGCACTGCCGCCTCCAGCACAGATGTCTCGTCTACCCCTGCCTCAAGCACTGCCGCAGCTTCATCTACCGCCGCTTCAAGCACAGACGTGTCATCTACCGCTGCCTCATCCACCGCAGCCTCGTCCACTCCGGCTGCCGTTTCTTCATCAGCACCATCGGCTTGCCAGACGAATGGCTTCTCAAACCCCTCCTTTGAGACCGGTCTAGATGGCTGGGTTTTCACTCAGGGCTCTGCAAATCCAATCAGTTGGGATCACACCGACGGAGCCTACTCAGTGTAAGTGGTCTCGAAAATCCTATCCACGTTTCGTCTCAAGGCTAACCTATGCTCCTAGTGCATTCTCTGGTACCGAGGTTGTCCAATTCAGCCAAACTGTATCCGGGCTTACCACACGTGAACATACCATCTCAATTAACTACAGAGTCAACGGTGCCACGGCCCCTGACACCATTCAGAGGACATGCCAGCTTAGTGTGTCTGACGAATCCCACGTCATCTCCACTGGCCCATCAACAGTCTACACGTCGACCCAAAACACGGAGTGGAAGACTTTCCAGGCTACATGGACGCCCACTGACGGCAGCACTGATGTCACCTTCCTGCTTTCGTGCACAAGCACCGGATCCTCGCCATACGCGTACATCGCTTTCGATAACGCCAAGATTCTCGTGGACGCCGCCTGCCCCTCTACTACTGTAGCATCAACCACCCCGGCGTCAACCACGGATGTGTCGTCTACCGCCGCTTCTTCAACTGCCGCTTCAACCACCCCGGCTTCCTCCACCGATGTGTCATCCACTGCCGCTTCAAGCACCCCAGCTTCAACCGATGTCTCATCGACTGCTGTGGCCTCTAGCACTGACGTATCATCTACCCCAGCTTCAACTGATGTCTCATCAACTGCTGCCGCTTCAAGCACTGATGTCTCGTCTACTCCTGCTGCTTCCACAACTGATGTGTCATCTACCCCGGCTTCAACCGATGTCTCGTCGACTGCTGCGGCTTCTAGCACCGATATCTCGTCTACCCCGGCTTCAACTGACGTCTCATCAACTGCTGCCGCTTCCAGCACTGATGTCTCTTCCACTCCTGCCGCCTCAAGCACCGATGTCTCTTCTACCCCAGCTTCAAACGATGTCTCGTCAACTGCTGCCGCTTCTAGCACAGATGCACCCTCAACTCCCTCAGCCACTGGAGTCTCAAGCACGGATATCTCAACTACCCCAGCTTCAAGTGATATCTCATCTACCGCTGTTGTTTCTAGCACAGACGTGTCTTCAACTCCTGGTGCCTCAAGCACGGATGTCTCATCTACCGTTGTGGCTTCTACCACGGATGCAGGATCTTCTGCCGCCATCACCCCTTCTGCCACTTCCGATGTTACGACGCCGTCAGCCACTCCCTCGGGATCTCAGTACATCGACAACGCGGACTTCGCGGCTGGTCTGGCTTACTACACCACCAGTGGCAATGTTTCCTGGGTCGGTGACAATGGTTACAATGGTAATGGCGCTGCCCAGCTATCAACTAGAGGAAATGACGACGATAACACTGAGGCCTCGCCTGTCCAGAAGCGTGATAATCCTATCACCTCCATTTCTGGCACTGTTCATAACCTTGTTGCTGGTTCGCCCTACACCATCTCGTTCCACTACCTCGTTCTCGCAGCATCACCTGATGACAGCTGCCGTGTGAGAGCCTACTTCAACGGAAACAACTTTGCTAACACTGATCGATTCCCTCTCACAACTACAGCCAACACTCAGTGGAGCCAGTTGTCCGGCACCATAGTCCCTAGCTCTGCTAGCGGTTCTTTGACTATTTCGATCAACTGCAACGCCGCGGGTTTCGTCAGTATCCTTCTTGATAACATTAGTGTGTCTGCTGGCGCTGTAAGCTCCACCACGCCTATCTCCTCAGCCGCAACCCCTTCAGCTACACCCTCAGCTACCGACTCTGCCTCTATCACACCCGTGTCTTCCGCTACACCCGTTTCGGACGCCTCGTCAACCACACCCACCACCTTCGCCACCCTGACGACCCCCGTGTCCTCCTCCACTATTCCTGCCTCGACCACTGCGTCGTCGACCTCGGCCGATGTCACCCCTGCTCCTACACCCAGCCGCAGGCCTTGCAAGAGCAGGAAGCTCCAGCGCCGAGCTCTCCTGGCCAGCCAGAACCAGTTCTAGTTGAATGGGGAGGCGGATTCAAATCTCCGCTTCTATGAGACGCCCCTGTCTTTCTCTTCTTCTTCTTGTCCGAAAGAGCGATGTTTTCTCCACACGGAGCGTTACGAGGAGGTTCACGGTGGATGGGATTTGATAGATTGTAGCTTTTGAGATTGTTCTATTAGTCGAGGTACTTTTCTACGAAATAGGATGATGGAATTTAATCATGAAGTTAATCCCATACGATGATTTATTTGTGTTTCATTCAATGCAATTCTTTTGCCCGTTCTTGTCTGGCGAAGGCAACCTGATACGTCTCTAGTAATTTTTCTCACAGACTAGATTGTACATCTAACCCACAACACTCTGTCGTTCCCACGTTCGACGCCTGCCATGCTCGCTGTCATTAAATGTGCCATCTCTCTAGTACTCTCTCCAAATTGTTCTCACTGGAAAGACTTCAACGCTGGAACTGAGATGTCCGGTTGGATACCTGAGAGTGTCTGCCGTCCTGGGAGTGAATATGACTGTATACCTAGTAGCATTCGCTATTCTATTTTGTATGATCGCAAAAAAACTTTGGATCATCGAAGGCCCTGCCCTAGATAGTTTTGCCTGTCTCAGTTGTTTGTTTTCCGCACGCGTATCTCGATCTGCTGATCACAGCCCTCAAGGAACGATACACTCAGCAGGTCGTGGACGATGACCTCGAAGAAGACCTGAACACATCCCAAGCGCCAGGCGAAGCACTGACGCATCATCAACCTCTTCACAGACGTTGCCAGCCAGCTTGGTACTGTTGCAAGTGATCGTCCGAGTCACTCGTGGTGCATGTCTCCAGGTCTATCTAGGGATGTCCGGCTGACAATGAGATAGTTGAACGACTTGTCTAGGTTGAGGTAGGGCGTCTGATTTGATATCGGAGTCTGCGTAATCTGTGCTCTCGTCACATGAGCTGTCGCTGTCCTCGTCATCCGCCAGTACAAGCATAACTCGCTGTTCTGGGCCGAGGGATGCCATAAGACCGGCCATTTTGAAGATAGGAATCATTTGGGTGACTAGGGGCAGGAAGGACAGGAAGGGCAGGGGCCCATGGCATCCTGGTGCAATAATCCAAGGGGACGTACAACAACAAGAATTTCGATTGCTCTGACACGTCGACCGTAATCATGTACATAATTTCTAGTATAAGCTATCAAAGATAAAGTGGGATTATATTATGGCCTCAAATGATGATAGTGAAATAAAGGTTGGTGATTTCCTTCTTGCACACTCTGCTCACATCTCAAGCAATTTCCTAAGCAGAACTCCCCTTTTTCTCTTCCTTCTGGTCCAAAGACTGCATTCTTACCAACTCAGCGTACGCCCCGTTCAGTGCCATGAGCTCTGAATGGGTACCCGACTCTACCACACACCCCTTGTCGAAAACGTAGATGACATCTGCATGCTGGATCGTGCTCAGCCGGTGCGCCACGGTGACTGTCGTCCGCCCCTTTGCCGCGCGGTCTAGAGCCGCCTGCACCACGTGTTCCGATTCTGAATCCAGCGCCGAGGTTGCTTCGTCAAGGAGGAGGATCTTGGGCTGCCTTACTAATGCTCTAGCGATAGCGACGCGCTGTTTCTGTCCTGTTGACAAAAGTCCACCACGGCTACCCACGACGGTATTGAACCCTTCAGGGAGAGATAGGATGAAATCATAAATATTGGCCTCGCGGCAAGCAATCTCCAAAGCTTCGTCGGACAAGTCTTTGGCGGAACCCATTCCGATGTTTTCTCGGATCGTCCCTTGGAACAGAGTTGGTTCCTGGCTGACGAGGGCAATGTGCGATCTATAGTCGTTGATGTTGATGAGTGATATGTCCTTTCCGTCAAGCAGGACCTGCCCAGCCAGAGGGTCATAGAACCGCTCCAGAAGGGCAATTGTAGTACTCTTCCCGCATCCGGAGCTGCCTACCAGGGCGATATGCTGGCCTGGCTCTACCTTCAGGTTGAGGCCACGTAAGACTGGCACATGAGGCCGCGACGGGTATCGGAAGATGACGTCTTTGAACTCTAGGTACCCTTCCGCCTCTGCAAGAGTATCACCAGAGTCATCAGAGGTATCAATTAGGGGCTTTGAGTCTTCGATCAGCGTCTTTAGTTTTCCAGCCGCTGACTTCGCCTTGGCAAGGTCGGGTGCGAAGGAAAAACAGCTCCCAACTGATGATGCGCCCATGATCATCGCCATGAAGCATACGAAGAACTGAAATAGACTGTACTCAAAAGTGGCCATAAGAGTGCTGCCATACCAAAATCCAAGACCGTAGCATAAATACTGAACTGATTGAGCCGCAGCAGCAATCAGACTCGATTTCGCTACGGACCTGATACTCTTCTTTTGCTGTTCCATTAAGCACCTCTCGTACTCAGCAGTGACTTGTTTCTCTCGCGTGAGGGATGCGACTGTTCTAATGGCCGAGATGCTTTCACTGGCGAAACCTGCCGACTCGGCGTAGACGGTCTCGATCCGACGCTGATGGCGGGCAAGTACCCACCAGCGGAAGAAACCACATGCGACGGCCAGAGGAACAGCGGGGAATACAACGAGTGCCAGCTTCCATCCGATAGCAAGGGATAAGACTAGACTGGCGACCAGGTTGGCGGCAGATTGAATGATGACTCCCAGAGCGGATCCAGTGATACCGGATGCATGGGTAGTTTCCATAGCTACGTATGCCGTGAGGGCTCCCGGGTTGTGATCATCCTCGTCGTAGTAGCTTACATCCTGCCGCAGCATGGCGGAGAACGTCTTATCCCGGAGCCTCTGGATGAGATACTCGCTCGCCCAGCCGAGAAGGCTGCCGGAGACGGCATTGGTCAAGAACTGCACGAGACCAAGCATCAAGAACATCAGAGACCAAAAGTTTGAGCGGGACTGGATCGCCCATCTGTCAGCCCCTTCCAATTCCACATCAGAGAGAACGACAATCTCTTTCGCGAAGAAAACTAAGAAGATGCTCGGGTTAGTTCCCAATGTGGTCCGTCTAGCAGTTCAGGGGCAACTTACTCGCTTGAACAGGCGTGGCGACACCGCATAGGACGCAGAAGAAGAATGCCACAATGATCCAGAGCGCTTCTTGCCGATTAAACTGCGAAACGAACTTAACCAGCGTCCACAGAGTATTCTGCGGTACTTTTTGGCCAGCGACACCTCTCTCCACCTCCTCAATATTGTTGAGTATGTCATTCGAAGCACGCATGTTTTTCTCGGGATCCTCGATTTCCGTAGTCACCAATACTCCCTCCTTACATGTCGATATTCTCTTGAGGATCTGCTGTTCTTTAGAGATAGTCTCTTCGACAGATAGAGCCACAGAGCGCCTCTGGCTGTCTTCGATTGTCTGGGCGGTGACAAGAGCGTGATATGCCCCTTGTTTTGAGATAAGATCATTGTGAGTTCCTTGTTCAATAATCTCTCCCTTGCTCATAACGACAATATTATCAGCATTGCGGATAGTTGAAAGGCGATGAGCGATGGTAATAGTAGTGCGGCCTGTAGAGGCGTTGTCGAGCGCGGCCTGTACAATTCCCTCAGATTTCGTATCAAGGGCGGATGTAGCCTCGTCGAGCAGCAAAACTAGGAGGATCATGTTAAAAATATCAATCATATCACCTGAAGGGTTTAATACGCACTCTTGGGATTAGATATGACGGCTCTTGCAATCGCTATTCGCTGCTTTTGGCCGCCACTGAGAAGAAAGCCACGTTGGCCGACATTAGTTTGATATCCATCAGGGAGCTGCATAATAAAGTCGTGAGCATTTGCTTGCCGTGCAGCATCCTCCACAAGTGCCTGCTGCTTCTCTTCGTCTGAGTTTTCATTGTCTGTGCCAATGAGACCAAACTTAATATTTTCAGAAATTGTGGCAGCAAAAAGGGTAGGCTCTTGTCCAACAAGTGCCATCTGCTGGCGAAGCCATCTGATATTAAGGGTCGAGAGGTCGTGTCCGTCTAGAAACACCTTGCCCTCAACAGGTTCGTAAAACCGCTCGACTATCCCGACGATCGTACTCTTTCCGCAACCACTAGCCCCTACAAGAGCCGTCACCTTGCCAGCTGGAACATCGAGGGAGAAGTTGTTGAGAACAGTAACATCGGCTCGGGACGGGTAGATGTGCTTGATATTCTCGAGACGAATATGTCCTTCCAGATTATCGACTTTCGTTCCTTCGTCAGTCGAGGGATCCAGCGGAGACTCGCGGTCGATCGTAGCCAGCATCTTATTAGCTACCGACAGAGCCCCAATGAAGACGGTAAAATACGGCCCGATGACACTCATGTTGAACGTCCCCATCATAATGGACATCATGACGATAATCATGTCAGACAACTTCAGGTCGCCGCGAGCCATAAAGATAGATCCCTGCCAGAAGCCCAGGCCATAATTCAGATACGTGAGCGACATGATGCCTGCCGTCATCAAAGCGGTCGCATATTTAAGCTTGATGCCCCATAACCGGACCTTTCCAAGATAGCTCAGGTACTGCTTGGCCAGACGTTCCTGGGTACCGAAAGCGATCGCGACTCGGATGGAAGAGAATACCTCCTCGATGAAGGTTCCGCTCTGTGAAAAATTTTCCCTCATCGGTGTATCGTATCTGATAATGAATACAGCGGCAATGGCACCGTTCAATAGGAGTGCGAGGAGAGTTGCCGTAAGGATCAGCGCGAACTTCCACGCATACACATAGCCGATTACAAAACCAGTGACGAAGGTGGACAGGGAGGAGAGGAACAGGCCAAACTTGTCAGAAATGCCATCCTGGACGGTGACTGTGTCGGCAGTGATCTTCGTTGCAAACTCCCCAGTCCCAAACTTGTCAAAGTAGCCGATATTCTGGCGCAGACAGCTCTCCAGATATTTCTGGCGGATCCTATCCGTAATCGCTTCGCCAACATAGAGAAGACCAAGACTAGAGATGTACGTGACCACGAATGTGCCGATCGCAAGATAGACGAAATACAGCACGTACGTGCCGATCACACCCTTGAATTCGTCAAGGCTCAACAGGCCCAGGACCGTATAATCAGTGAAAACTCCCTGCACATTTCCAAACACAATCGTCATAATGGGCAAGGCTGCGCCGGATGCTATCGAGCATATGATGGAGATGATAATGATCACGATATCAAACTTCGTAGCGAACCGTAGGAGGGCGAAAATGCTCTGCTTTTTGGGTTGCAAGTCGATTTGGCGTCTGAGAATAGCAGCCTCGGCTTCAGGCAGGCGGTCGATTGGGTCTTCGTCGGGTGAGTTTGATTCCGCGGCCGCCATAGACGCATTCCCACCTCCGGGCCTGGATACCGCCGTAGCTTGATGAGACGGACGTGACTCGGGCTCGAGTGTAGCGCTGGAGTTAGACCCGGCTTTTTTGTGTGAGGGTTTGTCTGCCTCCTCCAAAGCCTGGGGTTTCATATCTGCATCCTTGGGTGCATCGGATTGCACACCGACGCTCGCATGGAGGGGTGGATTCTTCTCGAATATTGCCTGAGATGGAGAGGTGTGTCCTACATTGTCGGTAGGCGCTTCTATAGTTGGTTTGATCGCCGTATCAGAGGATTGGACGACTTTGGAGCCGAGGTGAGATCCCTCCATATTATCCTGTGAATTTTCCTGGGCGTGAGAATCTATTCCTCTGGCAGCCGTCGCATTTCCAGCGGCCACGGCTTGTCCCGAATGCCCGTCCATTGCCATCTAGCTCGAGGCGTACAGCTCGATAGACAATTAGGAGCTCGTGGGCGGCAGCGACGCTGTGGTCGATCGTCGTAGCCTCAGTTTCGTCCTCGTTTTCCTATTCTCTGTTAATCGCCATGGGGATTCACGGCGTCCCAAGTAGTATACCGGAAAGACACGATTGCCATGATCTATTGAGGAATCAAGAAAATAGAACAACAGGGGCGTAGGCGGTATTACCAACAGCCAGTCGCGGTCCGAGAGAGCGTGTCGCAGACCTCAGGAATGCATATCCTAATGAGACAAACAGCCATCCGAA